CCAGTATAACTGGTGGTATTCTGCATTGCTGTATAATGATTAAACAGCAATGCAGAATAGCACCAACTATGCAGGACTACAACTCCCAGCAATAGATTATATTATTAAGTAGGGCTGCACCAGTGCCAATACTGGGCATTTTTCACGAGTACTTCTGAAAATGACCCGATACTATGCGCAGGTGAAATTACCAGGGTCACAGCGGTCGCATTTGTGACCGAGCCCTGGTGTTAGGCCAGTTGGGGGGGAACCCAGAGAGGAAGAAGAGGGCCCGCCACCCGCAGCTGCCTCATGCTGCCCGCTGTGTTTATGACACTTGACCGGAAAACACGGGCAATGATTTGTCATGCTTTCCAGTGCAGGCGATCGCACTGCGGCCAGGGGTAATGCCTGCAGTGCCATTGACTTTAATGCACTGCCACGCCCCATCCCACGCCCATACGCAGTAAATGCGGCCCGGGATGCGATTCAGTGCGTTCCAGCACCAAATCGGGCCGGAACGCACTGGGGTTGGTGTGAACTAGCCATGAAAGTCATAACATACATACATACTGTTTGTTTAAAAGAAAAAAAGGTATCAAAATAATGTTTTTTTGGGGGGTGGGGGGGCCTTAATGGTTTCTTGCACCGGGCCCCTGAGGTTTCTACTTACGTCTCTGACACGGTGCCCGGCTTTCAGATTGGCCAGAAAGCCGGCTCCATGCTTTCTCGCCACCTGGTGATAAGGGAGCATGGAGACGGCTTCCCTGTTAATCTGGAAGCTGCGTGGCAAGTCTTTACACGGCCACCCAGCTGATCAGGAAAGCAAGTGGCGAGTCTTTACATTCCGCCCAGCTACCCCGCCAATTAGTGATGGGCTCGGGCGTGTTCGCAAGCGCCTTGTGCTTAGCCCGCCAGGAAGCCATCAGCGCGCAGGGCCAATCGCAGGCACTGAGACATGTTCCCGGTCCGCAGCTGCAGAGATCGGGAAATCTCTCAGCGCCTGTGATTGGCCCTGCGCGCTGACAGCTTCCCGGCGGGGTCGGCACGAGGCGCTTGCGAACATGCCCGAGCCCATCACTACCGCTAATCAGGAAGGCAGGTGGCGAGTCATTGCACACCGCTTGGCTTCCTTAATGGGACTTCCGGTATCGGTATTCAGTATTCACAGTTAATGATTCACAGTTAATATTTAGTGCATTTGATTTTTCATTATGGATATTTTGTAGCAATTACTGTTACACTAAGGTGCATGTTATATACATGCGTTTCTTTTTTGTTTTGCACTTTTTACACATTGTATCACATTACTCCAAGGTCAGCATCTACTATATCTGACACTTTGCGGTCTCATTCACACAGCGCGGCTTTTACCATTAATTTCATACGTTATATCTGACCACACAGATTTCAGCTGCTGCTTAACTTGATTAGAGTAGTGGCGCGAGGTTTCACATCATTCAGCTTAGAGAATGAAGTGAAGCTCTGCTGATTTTTATCATCCAACCATGTTCAAGAAAAAACACATACATTGTATGCATATAAGGGGAACATTATACCTGTCTGACCGCCTGGAGATTATCCTCCCACTATTATTCCTGGCCATGATATTATGAGTGAAAAACGCGTGGGCACGCTGACATCATTACGTACCAGGAAGTGCGGGTTTTTTAATTGTATGGTGTATTTTAGACCTTGTATGTGGTGCGATTGAGCCCCTTTTATGTAAATTCTTTTAGCCATTTTAATAAAGCTGATTGAACATTTTTACGCTATGGAGCTTCTTGCTATCTGTTTTGGTTTCTGAGTTCTATTGGTATGAGAGGCTAAAAAATAAATGATACAGATTAAAGGAAAGATCTACATTTACTTACCTGAGGGGAGAACTGGGACTATTCTGACTCCTATTGTTGTATTAGTGTTTTATCCCTTGCTGAGACCTCTATGCCTAGCCAGTATAAGCAGATATAATCACTGCAGACAATCCTTAAAAGATTGCTGAACTCACCAAATACCTTTTTATCCGCAAAGAGTTTTTTTGTTTGCAGCAGGTTACAGCAGACAACAGGATACAGCAGATGAATGAACAGATGGTATTTGAAGGTCAAAGATGATAATGTTTCCAAGCTAGCATGTACATATGGTCCTGCAATAGGCAGTCATGACACTAACACTAGTTCTTGAAGAAAGGAGAAATATATCTCAAATGGGAGGGAACTCAGAAAACATGGTGCAATAACCAAAATGATCACAAGATGTCAGTATAATAACAAGCTATACTAAAACCAAAGATAATTGCTTAACCAGTTGACATCCGCGGTGTTAAACCCCCTTCCCATCCAGGCCATTTTTCAGTATTCAGCGCTGCGGTACTTTGACTGACATTTATTCCGTCATGCAGCGCTGTACTGAAATGAATTTTATACCCTTTTTTGGGGACAGATACTGCCGTCCGTCCGTTTTTTTACTACGGGCAGAAAACTTGTAAAGTTCTTAAGTTAGTTGAAGGCACTTTTAAACTTTTAATTCCGTCCTTGGTGTGAATGGTGCACATTAGTACATAACAATATGGCCAACCATGTAATTCCAGCTGTAAAATTCCCAGGTGAAACAGGAACAGTTCAAAGATCCTGAGCAAGAAGAGTTGCTGGAGTAAGGATGGCTGTGAACTCCAGATCCATTGACACATCACTGTCAATTAATGGATTTAGTTTGGTAGTTGGATTGATTTTAGGAATGTCCTGCTTGTCACGGACACATGTCATCTCTGTGCTGGAGACGTTCTGTTCTGCATTGCGTATTAGCAGGACGGGATTAATATAGGGTCGGATGGAGCTCTTGCTCCAGGCTCGCCCCTGCAAATAGGCCCGGCCGAGCTGACACGGCCAGAATTGCGGCCGGACCAAGCCGACTTGACCGGAATAGCGGCCAGGCCGA